GGGGGGGGGGGGGGCCGTGTTGGCCGGGGGGGGGGGGGGGGGGGGGGGGGGGGGGATGGGATGCGGAGTGAACTTCCGGCCGGTCCTCGCCGTCTTCCGGCGTCGCCTTAGCGCCCACCAGTGGAAGCGGCTGGGAAGGCGGGAGGCTGGAGCAGAGGCCGAGCCAGCCCTGGGAGGCGGGGGTTGGGGCGAGGTTCTTGGCTCTCGGGTTGCCCAGGTTGGACCCGCTCGGGCTCACCGCGGCGGTAGTGACAGCTAGAGGGTGAGCTCTTAGGGAAACCCGCTGTTAGCAGTGGCGGCCAGCCAGGGATGGCAGAACCTGTCCCGAGCCTGCTGCTTCTGTGGACACATGGCATACCGAACAGTTTGAAGTTTTGTTGCACAACTTTACCACCTAAGATCGGAACAGTGGGGAAAGTTGATTTCCGCCCATTTTGCGCTCTGAAACTGTGATGGAAAATGAAGCAGGTACCTGTTGAGTGTTCTCCGGAAGGTAGGCGAGGAGGCAGTTTACTAATAGGAAGGTATATGGAAATAAATACTCAAAGTCTCAAAGAGATAGCCTCGTGGTTGGCGCACTGTGAAGGGAGAATACAAATTTTGTGTTGGTGGGCCTAAAAGGGGCTGTCAGTAAATAGCTTCGAGGCTAGCGGCCTCTATTTCTGTAAGGTGTCTAAAAAAATTCTAGACGTGATGGTGTTGGCTTATAATTCTGGCACTTGGGATATGGAGGCAAAAATCCTCAGCTACATAGTTTGAGGCCAGCTGGGAGACCCTATCTCAAAACAGCCTGGCACATTTAATAGTTTGAGGGAAGGATTAATGAATTAGGCAGCACCGTGAACCAGGAGCGAGAGGTTCACAGAGTTCCACACCACACCTTGGCCAGGCAGTAATAGAGGCAGAAAATGGAAGGGACATATGAAAACCAGCTTAATTGGTTTACCTTTGCAGTTGCCTTATTTGGGCATAGTGTAATGCAGTAGTTAAGTACATGGACAAAGTCTGATAGGTTGTCAGTCTGTAGTGGGCTTATACCTAGCTGTTAGAAAAATGTACTCTTAGATTGTACTTAACTTCAACGAGGCGGGTTATCAGCGAGGCGGCTTTAACCCTCACTTGAGAAGGTATCAGAAGAAATATTTATGCCTCTAGCAACAATGGCTGAGATGCTTCTCAGAATCTCATGGAAGCTATTGGCCCAATTCTCTTTCAGCCAGTCACCCTTGTGTTATGTCAAGCTAACAGAGTATTTTCTTTCCTTGGAAATGTCCAGATTAAGAATTTCTGGTAAACTGTGATGGTGCCTGCTTGTAACCCCAGCTCTTTGGAAGTTGAGGCAGGTGGATCATGAGTTTGAGGTCAACCTGGGCAACATAGCGAGACCTCTCAAAAATGAAAAAGAAAAACACACCTGTATCTGACTGCCAGGATAGAAAACAAAAATATACTGTTACAACAACAGTTTATGATTTACAACTTTTTAAAATTAATAACCATTTTCTGTTGATTTGAAATGCTACTGTTAACATTAAAACAAAATTCCCCCGAATATGTACCTGTATCTAATCTGGATGTGAGTGTATCTATCTATATTGCTTTTTCTTGGTCCATTATCATGCCTTTTGATTTCTGTAGCTTTGTTTCATATTTTGCCATCTTATCGGGCAAGTTCCTGTAATATTTATTCTAATTTTTTTCTTGCCCACCTTATTTTTAATGTATTTTCCCAATGAGTTTTTTAATTCACTTAGTCAAGTTCCCAAATTAGTAGTGTGGTTTTTATTTCCTAGTGCATCAAATTTATGTTAATTTGGAAAGTATTGATTCAATATTGCTTTCCTTTTGAAAAAATTATAGAGGCTTCCTTCTATTTAGATAATCCTTGTAGCCTTCGTTGAGATTTTGTTAGGAAAAAACTCCACGTTTGATATATATTCTAACTTGATATATATAATACCGAATTGTTTAACATTTAAATTGCAAAATACAATATGCACTGTACCATGCACATGTGTGTGTTGTGTGTATGTATATGTACCTTCAATGTATTTATTTTTGTTTTCCCTTAGGAGAACCATACAGATTTTTGACTGGTGTAGAATACATTGTTGGAAGGAAAAACTGTGCCATCCTAATTGAAAATGATCAGTCAATCAGTCGAAGTCATGCAGTGTTAACGTCAAACTTTTCTGTAACAAATTTGGTATGCTGCTAATTTTGTTTTACTATATTGTAAGGGATTAGATAAAACAAAAAGTAACAACAATAGAAATCCCACATGTAATTAGGAGTACTAGTGGCATTTAATAGGAAGTTTCTACTTGAGTATTTTACTTATTCTTTAAGTGATTTCAAAACTCAGAGGTGCTAATAAACATTTTGTTTTAGCTTTTCTTTGCTGCTATGGAATATCTAAGATAATTTAAGGAGGGAAACATTTATTTTTGATTCATGATTTCAGTCGACATTATATTGGGGTCTGTGGCCAGTGCAATACATCATGGAGCATTTATAAGAGGCCGCTTAACCTCCTGGCAGCCATGAAGCAGAGAGAGGGAAGGGAGCAGGGAGGAGAAAGTGTGGAGGCACCCAAACCTCTTCCAAGGCACACCTCCAATGATCTAACTTCCTCCTACCAGGGCCCACAGGCTGACTACTGAGCCTTTAATGCACGAGTCTTTGGAAGACACTCAGATCTAAACTGTAGGGTGTTTATTGAAGGTTCATATGTTATCAATCATGTGCTAAGTCTGGGAATACTACTATGAGTTACCTTCATGACCTGCCTGGACTCACTATGTAGTCTAGATCTGCCTTTCTGTGCTTCCAGGTGTTGAAATTAAAGGCCTATGCCACCATACTTGGTTGACCCACAGTCTTTTGAAAGAGCTTATGTAGCTGTGTGGATCCTGGCATTTTCTGAGTTAACACATTTTCACAGTGGTAATTGCTGTTTTATTAGGGAAAATAATTTGTTTATTGCACACAGCTCCTATGTAAATATCTGTGCTTGTGGTGATACTTATGGTATAAGAAAAACCATTATTTTGAGCACAGCCTGTATATATGCAAATGCTGGGTGTGTTTAGTGAAATTCAGGTTTTACGTTTATTCTTTTAGGGATAGAAAAACATGTATTATTGAAATTCCTGTAGTAAAATTGTTAAAATAAGTCAGAAACTCTAGCCTTTAACTTCTTATCCTCATTTGATCAATGTTTGGTGTGATTTTGGTAGTGTAGAAAGAATCTAAGAGAGGATGAAACTGGCATGCTAAACACAAAATAGACTACCAAACAAAAATGTGTATATATGTATATATCCATCCTCAAAGAATGAAGTTGAAGGGTTAGGAAAATCTGTGCTGACTTAAAATAATAGAGAAAAATCTATGTTCCAAGAGAGGTAATCCTGGTTTTATGAAATTACATTAAGTGAAAATATTAATGGCTAGTTGAATGATCACTCCCTAAGGGTAGCCAAAACGGAATCGTCTTTCACTTAGTGTTTGCCTATTCCGAAAGTTACTGATCTTGTGAAATTTTTTCCCTTGGAATCTGTATAACTAAGTGTTTAAAAAAAAATAACTTTATCATTTGTTGGTCTTTCAGAGTCAAACAGATGAAATTCCTATATTAACAATAAAGGATAATTCTAAGTATGGAACCTTTGTTAATGAGGAAAAAATGCAGAATGGCTTTTCCCACACCTTGAAGACAGGAGATAGAGTTACCTTTGGGGTGTTTGAAAGTAAATTCAGGTAAGAAGCTTCAAAATCGATATTATAGCTTTATTTGTTCTAAAGGAAAATAATTCATAGATAATGAATTGAAAGTAACATAACTGAAGTTGAGTAGGCCCTGAGAGTTACAATGTTGGGACAGTTGTTTGACTCCTCTTAGGTGAAGTATAAAGTTAATGTTGGTCATGTGTTTTCTTTATTAGGACTCAAAATTTAAGAAATAATAATTCCTTAAGTAGAAAGAATACACTAAAATTAGAATTGCTGATATGAGCTTAAAGTTTTAAGTTGTGTAAGTTGATATCTTTATAACTACAGTCTAACCTTATGTAACATTTTCCTTTACAGAGTAGAATACGAGCCTTTGGTTGTGTGTTCTTCTTGTTTAGATATGTCTGGGAAAACTGCTTTGAATCAAGCTATATTACAACTTGGAGGGCTTACTGCAAACAACTGGACAGAAGACTGTACTCACCTTGTCATGATGTCAGTTAAAGTTACCATTAAAGTAAGGTGGATGTCTTTTTATATTAAATATGTCTGTCAACTTCAGCTTACTTGATTTATATGTACAGGCTTAAAATTTGTTTCTACTTTAAACTGTCAGAAGTGTTAACAGATTTATGTATGACTGCTCCATGCCTTTATATAGGCTCAAATGGCTTTTCACCATGGGTCTCACTATGTAGCCCTGGCTGGCCTGGAACTCACTATGTAGACCAAGCAGGCTCCAACTTACAGAGGCTACCTGCTTCTGCCCCCCAGGTGCTGGTATTAAAGGCATACACCACCATACCTGGCTTGATTTGGTACTTTTTAAAAGTATTTATATTTTCACCATGACATTTATTTTATTGTATAGTTTGTATTTTAAGTCTAAAGCGCAGACACTAGAATTTAAAATAGGCATCTCATGTCTCCTCTGTCGAAGCTGCCTTTCTCCTGTTTCTCTCACCACTTCATGATCTCATGCTCTCTTGTTTAGTATTAGACAGGATGCCCTAATCACAAAGGCTTCAAAGTAGTTTAGTATTGCCCTAGTGAATTTTGCCAACCTAAAGATATATAGATGTACGCCTTTAGAGTGCTGAGTGATTATTAAAGCAGCATTGTGTTTTGGTGTGTTTTCAGATTTTGCATCTTCCTCAGGTTTTTTTTGGGGGGGGAAGGGTTTTTTTGTTTTTATAGCCAAAGCTAATTAACAAATGGCATTCAGAGGTGATTTGTCTCCTTTTACAGGTTAACTCATTGATATGTGGAATTGTTTTATCTATATATAATTTTAAATCCTGTAGAATTTAATACAATTTTTTTTTTTTTGAGAGAGAGAGGGTCTCCCTATAGCCCCAGCTGTCCTGAAACTCACTATTCTGGACTTGAACTCACAGAGATCTGCCTGCCTCTGCCTCCTTAGTGCTGGGATTAAAGGTATGTGCCACCACACCCAGCTATAAATTAAATTTGAATACATGTATTATACTGGAGAGTGCTCATTTTGAAAAGTTAAACTTGTACATTTTGGGTATTATCTCTGATCAAGGATTTTTTTCCCCATTTTGGCAGGCTTATGAAATTGGTTTTATTTTATTTTTGATTAGCCTCCATGGTACTAATAAGTCCACTCACTGATAGTAGATTTATAAATCAAAATGTCCATTTATCACACTATAGTGAATCTATCTTTCAGTGACCAGAGTATTTGAATGTGGGCTCTCCTTTGAGATATTAAAGTATGAAATGGAATAAGGAGTCGTGCACTTGCTTGGTAGTTTCACCTATCTTGATGGAGATATTATTTCAGCAACTAAATGCTAATGGCCATCTTGTGGATCTCTCCATTAGAAAAATCAACATGGTTTCTGGATATTTTTTCACTATTTTCTAACTTCAACCCTCCCTTCCTCCCCCCACCCCTTTTTTTTTCTTTTCTTTTTGAGACGGGCTCATATAGCCTACACTGTTCTCCAGTTCACTATTGCAGCTGAGGATGATCTTGAACTCCTGATCCTCCTGTCTCTTTCTCCCAGTTGCTGGGATTATAGGCAGGTACCACTATGCCCAACTCAACTTCTTCAGTATTTCTGATTAATGATATGCCAGAAACGAAAACCTTGCATTATATTAATTTTTGGTAAATTCAATAGTTAGCTTCTGTCTCTAAAGTCATTGAATGTTAGAACCAACAGAGAACTTGGAGCAACAGCTAAGACATGGTTCAAACGATGAAATAGCTTTCTCAGAGCTGCATCTGTCGTGCTTTGCTCAGTCCAGTTAAATTCACATCACTGCTTCATACTGGAAGTTCATGCCTGCTCTTGAGATATAGACACACCCTAAATCTACTTGCTCCTGTCTAGGCAATACCCTTTGTTAGGAAGTGCATACTTATAAGTTCTCTAGTGGGGTATTTCCTAGAATTATGCTAGATTGCCTTTATTTTCATTTTCCTCCACATTAGTATTTTCTAGTCTTTTAAGACTTTGGAAGTATCTCATTTGAGGCTTATGGCTTATTTTCAACTCAGTTGAAGTTTCTTTTTTTGTTTTGTAAATCTCTTCTGTGTGTATGTACTTATTTTGAGCTTTTACCCAACCCCAACCAATTAATCACTTATTTGTATGAAAAAGGCTTTATTCTATAATTATACTTTTTTCAAAATACAATTAGGGCTAAAAAGATCTCACATTTTTCAACAGTGTTAACTATTTAATCAGATGAAAGCTCCTTTGAAATACTAAGGTTAAAGCTACCTTTTTTTTATTTAAGGCAAGGCTTACTATATAGCCCAGACTGCCTTCTAATGTAGTACTGGCCTCTGCCTCTTTCATGCTGGGATTATAGTTATGTGCCACCATGCTCAACTCTTTTTTTAAAAAAAAAATTTTATTTTATGTGTATGAGTGTCTTGCATGCATGTATTTAAGTGCACCCATGTTATGCGATACCACAGAGGTCAGAAGAGGGCATCAGATCCCCGGGAACTAGAGTTACAGATGGTTGTTAACTTCCATGTGAGTACTAGGAATCGAACCTGGGTCTTCTGGAAGAACAGCAAGTGCTCTTAGTCACAGAGCCATCTCTCCAGCCCACCATGCCCAGCTCTTATTGATTTCTCTGTAGCAGATATATTACATATCCTCTATTCCATAATAATTATCATGCCTTTCTAACTTGATTTAATTATTTTAGAATGTTTTCTAAAATGTTTATTTTAAATGAAAATTATGATTGGTGGCTTCTTAAACTTTATTGGTTATACAGTGATGTTCTAAGCCTCAGCAGTGACCACATACTGACTTCTGTTTTACAGATTATGTCTCCTTTTTAGAGAGTTTTTTTTGGTCTTTTTGAAACAGAGTCTTCCTGTAGCCTCAGCTGGCCTGGAACTCCTCTGTATGTAGACCAGGCTGACTGGCCTCCATCTCACAGAGATCTGCCTGCCTCTGCCTCCCATATGCTGGGGTTAAAGGTGTGTACCACCATACCTGGCAAATTTAGAGCTTTGAAAGGAGAAATAGTTCAGAACAGCTTCTTTGTAGTTTGTAACTTAAAACCCTTCTTTTAAAAAACTAGTATTTGAATATATATATTTACCTTTATGCATACTTTTCCATTTTAGACGATATGTGCCCTCATTTGTGGACGTCCAATTGTAAAGCCAGAGTACTTTTCTGAATTTCTCAGAGCTATTGAGTCTAAGAAACAGCCTCCAGAAATTGAAAGGTATATTATTTATTTCAAATATAATATAACATAGAAATAGATAGCTCTGATACTGTTTATACTCATTCTTTTTAAAAATATTTATTATTTTTATTTTATGTGTATGAGTGTATTGCCTGTATGTATGTAAGTATGCCCATGTCATGCAGTGCCTGTGGCGGTCAGAAGAGGGTATCAGATTCCCTGTTACTGGAGTTACAGATGGTTGTTAGTGACCATGTGGGTGCCTGGTCCTCTGTAAGAGCAGCCAGTGCTCTTAACTGCAGAGCCATCTCTCCAGCCCTTGTACTAATTGCTTTTTAATGACCATTTCAAGATGTAAAAGCTGCTGTTCTAGTTGAGTATTGTGTTAATGGCAGTTTCACTATGTAAACAAATGGTTTTCCAAATTCCATGTTATTTCCTATCTCCATGAAACAAATGTTAAATAAGTGTTAATATTTAAACAAAATGTAAGGACAGTGAATGGCCTTGAGGTGTGATCTGAAGAGCACATGTACCAGTACCTGGTATCATTGCAGAGGAAGCCCCGAACTGTGTGTGCAGCAATACTGTTCAGAAGCTCCAGAGGCCCAAACTGAGGCTGTGTAGCTCACAATGATAATCCCAGCACTCAGCAGGAGCCTAATGCAGAAGGATCACAAGCTCATGACCAGCCTGGGCTGCTTAGTAAAACCCAGTCTGAAAACAAAAAACAAAAACCCCAGGAGCTGGAGAGATGGCTTAGGGGTCAAGAGCACTGGCTGCTCTTCTAGAAGAACTTAGTGCTCATCAGGCTTTTGCTACTGCCTTTAACTCTAGCTCCAGGGGATCCAATGTCCCTTTTTGGTCTCTATGGGCACATGCACACATGTGGTACACACACACACACACACACGCATGCATGCACACATGAATAAATAAAAATAAATCCTTAAACCAAAACCAATCAAACAAAAAGTGCCATACAACTAATTTTAAGGTTTTTTGTTTGTTTTTATTTATTTATTTTTTGGTGTTTTTTGAAACAGGGCCTCCCTGTAGCTCCAGCTGGCCTGAAACTCACTATGTAGACCAGGCTGGCCTTGAACTCATAGTCACAGAGATCCACCTGCCTCTGCCTCTGCCTCCCAAGTGCTGGGACTACAGGCATGTGCTACCATGCACGGCTATTTTAAGTTATTTTAAGTATTACTAATAACATACAGTATTTAAAATCTGAACACATTGCCTGATTTAAGTGCTTGACAAAAGGAAATAGTCATTGTTGCTAACTGTAAATATCTGAGTAGATTCATACCCTCATTTATTTTTTATATTCTGTCAAATTTTGAACAATCATTAGTAAATCTTTACATTACATTAGTTATACTTTGATGTAATAAAAATTATGGTTAAAAAAGATACTTGACTATATTTTGCAGGTTTCATGGTAAAGATGCTGGGAGCTATAAAATGGTTAATATTTTTTGTTACTTTAATATCATAGTGACTTCCTTAATAAAATATGTCATTAGATTATAATCTATATGGCATAGTAGATTGTATATTTATAGACATATATATGGTACTATATAGTATTTGAGGAAGTCTGTCCTTTTTTCTTTTTGTTATTGTGTTTTTTAATTGCATTTTTATGCATTTCATAAATAAATTTTAAACATATTTAGACACACACCCCTCCTGCATCCACACCTCTCCATGATCCCCCCCCACACACACACACACACTAGATTTCATGCATTCTGTCACTTATCAAGTCAAGCTTTTGTATCCAGGTATCCCTCGGTGCCAGTTTATCCACTAGAGTCTAGTCAGCCTGTCTAGAGTCACTCCCTAAAAGAGCAACTCCCACTCCCCCAGCAGTAATCAGTCACCTGGCTCCAATACCGAGATTTTTAAGGGCCTGTTTATGTGACTGTTGATAATAGATGTCTGTTTAACAGTACCAAAAATTAGGTTATTCTCTTTTTTGTTGTTTGTAATTTTCATCTGGGAAGTTTATTTCATAATGTGATTAACAGATGACAAAGTATTTTGGATTCCTGTGAATAATGGATGATTCTTAACCTTTCTTGAGTCTTAAAGCCCTGTGAGAACATAGAAGCACAAGTATGTGCTTAGGAGATATCAGTTATATACTACACATTGGCTTGGTATTTCAGTGTGTCAGAGTCTTCTCCAGAAGTCCATCTATCTACTACCCTGAAGGAGTCCATCAAATCTTATAAGGAACAACTCTGACTACAAATCATAAGCCATTGTTGGTTGTAGGACAGAGGCTTTGCTAAATTTTCACTACTGGTTGTATGTTTTATGGTCTTGGAGCTTTTAGAATTAACATTGAGTCCTCCTTTTATGCGGGTTTTCAGGGCTGTTTAACCTGGGTTTATTTTTTACTTTAAGTTTAGTATAATTTCCTTCTGACTATTAATTTGTGACTACAGTGAAATGTCTTTACCCAAGGATTTTTTGAATAACTCCTCATTCACTGCTAGGAAAAGCCTATTAAATTAGCCGATATTTGATATTGTCAGTTGATGATCACATGTTTAGTATTAATAGAGCAGGGTATGGTGGTACACTCCTATAATCCCAGCACTCAAGAGGCTAAGGCAGGAAAAGACAATAATTAATGCCCCAATAATTAATGTTTTGTTGTTTTGTTTTGTTGTTGTTGTTGTTTGAGACAGGGTCTTCCTGTAGCCCCACCTGGCCTCACAGAGATCCCCCTGCCTCTACCTTCTGAGCACTGGGATCAAAAGCATGCGCCAACACACACACCCAGCTCCCCCTCCCCCCCAGTAATTAATGTTTTTAAGTCCAAAATTTTTTCTTGAGCTGGAGAGATGGCTCAGTGACTAAGAGCACTTGCTGCTCTTGTAGAGGACCCAGGTTTGGTTCCCAGTACCCACACTGATAGCTCACAGATGTCTATAACTCAGTTCCAGGGGATCCAGTGCTACCTTTTGGCCTTTGGGCACCATGCCACATGTAGTACACATACATACATATAAGCAGATACCCATACACATAAAACAATAACAGCAAAACCCCCAAACCATTAATTATTAATAAGAATTAATATTACAAGGGATAGTAACTGTAGTGATTCTTTATTTCATAAGTACCTGTACCTGATGTGATTGGTGGTATCTCATTTCTGTAAATCATTCTCAAAGTACTGGTATAGATGACGTCATTTTTAGAAGACTTGATGTTGTAAAACAGTGCTTAATTTTATCATTTATAGTCTAATAAACATGTTTACAAAATATGGTATATGTCTCAATGCAACAAAATTATCCCTTAGAAAAGAGGAGGAGTTAAGACTGGAGAGATGGTTCAGCAGTTAAGAGCACTAGCTGCTCTTGCAGAGGCCCTGGGTTCAGTTCCCAGCACTGCAGCTAACAACTATCTGTAACTCCAGTTCCAGGGGATCCAACGCCTTCCTCTGACCTCTGCAGGCATTGCACAACACAGGTGCACTTACATATGTGCAGGCAATATACTCAGATGCATAAAAAAAATAATAAAATATTTTTTTTAAAAATAAAAGAGGAGCTGCATTTTAGTTTAGTTGCCTTATAATGTATACAAAACTCTTGTATTGTAACATGTTCTCTCAGTTACTTTATTTCAACAAGCGTTGTTCGGGGGAGACACTGTTGGGAGAGGCCTCTTGCTGGCTATGGGAAGAATACAAGGCCCTGGCATCCTTTTGTACAAGCATTTCTGAGTTATGCTTGCAGTGAGAAATCTTGAGAGATGAAGTCATGTCTCAGTGAAACAAAAAACATGCTTACTGACAGTTATAAGACATGGTGGATTCATAACTACAGTGTTCCTTACCCTGAACACAAACAATCACATGTGCCTTCTATACCTTCTCCATGGAACTTGGTTGGAAAGGAGATCAGCCCCAAACAACCTTTGAACTTTTTTTTTTTTTGGCTTCAGATATATTTAATGTATATCTTCTTACAATTGTCTACCTTAGAATATTTGTTTTAAGAAAATACAGGCCCATTCTGCTATGTGTGGAACCTGTTGCCATAGTTTTAGAGAAGGCATCTAGATGCTTTTTAAAAAATCATTTCATTTCAGATGAAATGCTTTAAATTTTTTTTAAAAAAGAACCAGAATTACTGATTTTTTTGTTTGCTTATTGTGGTTTGGTTTCAATGGGTTTTTTTGAGGCAGGATCTCACTGTGTTGTCCAGGCTGGTCTTAAATTTGAAGTGTAGATCAAGTTAGTTTTTAACTTGAACCAGTTCTTCTGCTTCTGCCTCCTAGGCATGTATCATTGTGCCTCACTTTTTAGTATCACATTGCAACTCCATTTACAAATTTAATAGTAGGGACTGGAGAGATGGCTTATCCATTAAGAGCACTTGCTGCTCTTCCAGAGGACCTGGGTTCAGTTCCCAGCACCTACATGACTGTGCACAATCTTCTGTAACTCCAGTTCCAGTGGATCTGATGCCCTCTTCTGACCTCTGCTGGCACTGCATTCATGTTGTGTACTTATATATGTGCAGGCAAAACACTTGTACAAATAAAATACAAATAAATAAAAAAATTTTAAATGTAATAGTAAACATACACAATAGTATATAATTTAAATCTATTTTAATTACTTTTACAGTTTTTACCCACCCATTGATGAACCAGCTATTGGAAATAAAAGCATTGATCTGTCAGGACGACAGGAAAGAAGACAAATCTTCAAAGGGAAAACATTCATATTTTTAAATGCCAAACAGGTGAGTACAATTTTACTTTAAAAAGCCTTACACACTAAGATACATTAGTACCCATATCTATAGTTGTTAATGCATTTCATTTTGGGATTTTATGTAGATACTTGAAGTAAAACAAACAGCTGCTCAGGCACCAGAACCTGCCCAATGATCCGGTATATGATTACAGTATTTCCTAACACTGGCTAGTTGGCTTATTAACTGAGCTATATTAATACCTTAGTGGGGAGAACAGAAAACTTTTAAGCCCTAACTTTTTCAGCTTGCAAATTACATCTGAGGAATGTGTTTTGTGTTCTAAAATGGCAGTTCCAAGAGTTGGTGCTCTAGTGGAAAAATCATTCAGGTTAGCCTACATTAGAGAAGTGTGGGAGTGTGGAGAGGAAACAGTGCAGTAATGGGCTGGCTGCAGACACAGCTGCTGCACTAGGGCTTTTCTGAGCGTAGAAGCCAGAGCGCCCACTGCTTGGAAGTAGAATCAGTTCTTCTTTTATTTTAATTGCCAAATGCAATTTGTATATAAGAATGTACTAAAAAACTCATTGCAGCTGTAGTGTGAATTGTTTAATGCTTTCCATTGTAGCATAAGAAGCTAAGTTCAGCAGTTGTTTTAGGAGGTGGAGAAGCCAGGTTGATAACAGAAGAAAATGAAGAGGAGGATGGTTTCTTTTCAGTTCCTGGAACTTGTGTTGTTGATATAGGAATAACAAATACACAGATCTTAATTCCCGACTCTCAGAGAGAATGGATTCATTTGATTATGGATGTGCTCCAAAGGTACATAATTATTCTTCATTGGTTAAAAAAATGCAAGTAGCTTTTATTTGTAGCTTTTTTGGCTGCATTTCAGTTAATATCAATGTCTGTATGAAGGCTTGTTGAGCCATGTACTTGAGAGCTGTGGCTTGGGGTACTAGGTAGTGGAATATCTTCATATATAATTTTATCTCAATATTTTCTGCCTTTTGCTATTTAATAGAATTTATTTTTTAAAATTAATGATCTAGTAGTTTCTATGCACAATATGTTGCAGCTGAGATTAAAATTCAAAATGTAGAATATTTTCTGAAATTACCTAGAATTGAAATGTGTTTGTCCTTCATAATTACCCATTTGAAATATATATAATTATATGGGCTGGTGTGAGAAAGAAAAAGTCAGATATTGTTTTCCTTTCTTTTTTATGAGACAGGTTGGTGGTGAACTTATGTCCTCCTAGCTCATCTCCTGAGTGCTGGGATTATGAGTTTAAGCCATCATGCCTGATTTTATGCTGAGGATCAAACCTACTGCTTCATGAATGCTAGAAAGCACTCTACCAAGCCCATCTCTAGCCCCCAGATCTTAAAATAGTGTTTATAGGAAGGGATTGTAGAAGAGTTACATTGAGTTTTCATCTTTACACTCTTTATTGGTATTAATTTTAATATTGTTGAAGTCAAAATGTACTGTAGACAGTATTTTGACTAAATTTTTATTAATCTAGCAAAAAGTAGTTGGCATCTAGAGTATTATATGCCATCTGCCTATGAATTATTCGTTTTCCCTGTTCCACAAGTCCTTCTGACCATGAGAACTGGCTGTTTGTTT